ATTTGATAACTGATGGATATTAGCGGTTTTACTCCTTTTTTGATAATGACGGAATTACATCTGCATGAACAGTTGATAGTGGTATTTACTGCATTCAGGTGCTTGTTTGAATGTTGTATTTGTTACTTTAATACTGCTGAATGAATCAAGTCCAAGATGAAGCGATTGTTAAACCTTACTCTCGCGCTTACCATGTACTGTAACCATGGACGACCTGTTGTGAATGGCTAGAAGACATCGTGGTTTTATTTATTACAGTCGCTAATAAAGCCTTCTGCGTAGCAGTTCCAAACTCAGAAATACTTTTTGTATGGATGCAAACGATATGGCTTCCTATGACTTGCTGAGCTTAATTCTGTTGCTGACAGCTATTCTAAGCGTTTTGGCATGATTTTAAAGAATTACTAAAAATTTTGCGATCAATGTTGAAAATTAAAACGTATATCATCGACATAAAGTAGTTGATCTTAATTGGATACTCTCTGAGGAAAGGGAATTGGGTGGATTTCGAACATTGTTGTACAATTTTTGCAACATTAGAGTACAATTTTGAGTGACAATATATTTTCGATACAATTCGTATCCATAGAGATATCTCATAGAAATATCATTTGAATTCAAAATGAGTAACGCTTTGCCCTTTTTCATCTCTGGAAAAATATTTAGACGAACAGTCACTTTTTGTCTTGTTTTTGTGCCATATTACTTATACAGAATACTAAGTTTCTTTGTATTACACGGCATTGTTATCAGTGAAAGCCTTTACATCTTTATGCAGTGAGGGAATAAGTTGCGATCTAAGCTGCTGAGAACTTCGTTCATACTAGAATGAGTAGGCGGAAACGTGATTAAAGCAACAATGCAAACCCTCATAAATAGTAACCAATTTTCAATTAGGCGATTTTCATTTTACGTACAGCATATCACTTACTAACGAGATAGCTGGCGACTAATTTTTTGAATAGTAAAGTGAAGTTTGTAGTTACCAGTACATAGTAGAGCATCACAACTTCTATAAAATTTGTCTCCAAGTGAAGCGAAACAAAATGTGATAGCAAACTCGGCGTCTGTTGATTGAAACATTTACTGAATGAGGAAGAAACTCTTAGTAGAAGACTTATTTCACTTTAGAGAGCAAACGACTCCCTTTTCCTCTACAGCTATTTTGAAACCATTTGAAGGAACTTTTTAATCAAAGGAGAAAAAGATGTCACTTCTGAAGAAGTAGGCATCTGTGAGATTCAGGTGACGTCATCATCTCGCGCCATTCAGTAACAAAACGTACTAATTATTTCGTTAAGGCATCTGACTCTTGAAAACGCACCCTTCCTACTTCAAATAATAAATTTATTAACTTATGAACATTACTCTCCACAACTAATTTAGCAATATTATTTCATCTGATATTTGTTTAAGTGCGAAATGGAAGTGAGTACCACTAGTTTACAGTGAATCTTTCACATTATAAGTGATTAAAACTTCTGATAAGTTGATAAGAATATTACAAAAAAGTATATATAATGTCATTCATAATTTCTCGAAACTTCAAGTGCCGTGGAACATCCTGATTTCTTTCCTTAAGTATAGCGTGCTAACCCACGAATGACCAAGTCCTCAGAGATACGTGACCACACGTATTTCTGTTGCTGTAGCTACTTATGTCAAAGTGCGATTTTGAGCATGTTGTATGATATACAGCCACCACAGAACTACTCCTTCTTGTCCTTTTCTCTCGTACCAAAGCCACACTTCGGTTTTACTTTTCCGATCAACTGTATTGGTGGAATAGACCGCAATGTCGGTTGACGTTTTCATCAGCGTGTCCAGGATCCATCTCTTTTGTCTTCAGCACATAGATTCTTGGTGGTTTATTCACATAGTTTGTTCCAGCTAATTTTATCCCACCACTTTATCCTTAATTGAGACCCAGCGGAAGCAGTTGTTGCTCAAAATGTGCGACTTTTTGGGAATGCTCTTCGTTGCCCAAACGCCACATTTCCGAGTTATACTGAAGAAATGACTTCACTATTATTAGTACAGACGATATCAAAATGGGCTTCATATTCACGGAAATGTGCCCTGCCTCTCCGACTGTGTATTTTATATCTTCATCCATTCCGTATGTAGGTAAAGCGATGCTAATGACACGACTGAAGCTAACGATATCAGAGTGACACCGGCTTGTATGTTTAGCCGATAAATTATAGATAGAGTGAATTAAGACAAATAGCATTCCTTAATTACGTTTAATTGTTCTTCTTCAGAATCTGCATATGACACATTTTCATTTTTTCTATGTTATTTTTGCAAGTTTAGCCATGAAGCACATTTTTGTGTTCATATTTCCATTTATGAAACTTAAGACTGGCATACTGAAGTTTCTTGTATTCAATCTCAGTTGAATAAGTTCAATTTTTTGTTTCAAATTGTAAGGATGAGCCAACTCGTAATATCTATTTAACTCAATGACTATCTGGATAATTGAACTGCTTCAGAACACTATCGAAATCCTATTAAAGTTTCCAGTCCTTATCTAAATCTTTTTCAACATACACTGAAATTATTATCAGTTGGCACTTATAAGAATAGTTGAAATGACACTAAAAATAGAATGTTTGATTTGGTAAGGTATTTCTTTAATTATTGCAGTTTGTTTTTTCTGAAAGTGCTTCATGTTTTTCGTTTATCCACATTTCTTAGAAAAAATACGTGAGTGATTTTGTACCCCTTTTCTTCTTGAGGGTTTAATTTCAAAGAACTCGAACAATTGTTTATTATTTGTTTTCCATCTGGTATATTTTTGTGCGGATGAGTGTCATTCTGGCATAGCGAACCTACAATCGACACAACATGAGATTTTTGTAAAGACTGTTCACTCTATGTGTTTGTTTCAGCGTTATTTTCAATACTGTGCCGCGTAAATTACCTGATGATAAATGAATCAAAGGGTAATGATTGTCTACTTAAGTGGTGAAAATGAAACTTCATGAAAATAGAGACCTAACTCACGGGAATAATCCTGAAATATACCACTCTTAGTTATTCTCAGAATCTTGTGTAATTTTCGGAATTATATCAAAGAATTTAAATAGTGCTAGAGAAAGAAGTTATGTTTGTTAATTGAATCTTCTTATTCGAAATGATCTATTATATTACAACTTCAGTGAAATATTCTATTTTGTTTTGGGACCACACAGGCGTTAAAGATCTAAGTGAGTTGTACATAGTTGTGGATGTATAAGGTTTATTTATTCTGGCAGTTTCCGTAACACTTGTTGAATGGGAGCATGTTTAAATTTATACCATAATCAATCGCGCTGAAACTTCAGCAGATTTCAGTGACTGGATATCACGATTCTTTTAGTATTTTGGTGTTTACCGCAAATTTCTCCTAAGTTTTTATATTTTCATTTGTGTTGTCACTTTCTGAAGACATTTAAGACCACGCTCCTCTTTTAGACATATAGTTGAGTTAAGAGGAAAGCAACAGGGAGAAGCATGATGTGTTGATTATGCAATCACTTAGTTAACGGAGTGTAAGTTCATTTCTTATTGAAACGAATATTTCATCAGATACTAATTGTAACTCATTTTAAAACTCCACATCAATTTAAAATTAGCCTGTAAGTTCAATTTGCCACTTTTCTCTCGCGTAGATTCTTACACTGTAGTAACGCTCGTCTAAGTAATAATTTTATTTTCACGCACTTTCCAAAAGCAAATTCATACAGAACTGAGACTTCAAATTGTGAAAGACGAACAAATAGTTAACTGTTAAAGAATAACAGAAATGTTATCAGGGATTAAGATCTTGTAGTCTAATGATGCTAAAAAATACCAACAAAAATTTGATTCCGGATCGCAAGCCAATTATTAGATTTACAGTCAACCGATAAAAGCTTTGATCTACTCGTCACAGCTTCCTGCCATTCGGTTATGTTGAGTTATAAACGAACGTTTACAGTGCCAATAATTCGTCATTGGTCCAAACGTTGTTCTACCAGAAACACTATATATTATTATGAGATTAATGACATCATTACTATGAAAACATCATAAAAGAATCAATCTAAAATACGAGATATTTCATTCAAAATACTGCTCAACAAGTCGCCATTTCACCTTGACTTTGTGTGAAATCCAAAAGATAAGTTAAGTCAATCATTTTTCCTCGAATAATATCATAACTCAAAGGTTGATTGTATTACAACTTTTCTATCCTGTGTAGTTTATAACTTACGATTTACAAGATCTAGTCATGTTAATCATTGTCTTTATTTAAAAATTTAATTAAAAGCGGATAATACTGATTTGAGTAAGTATTTATAAAAGTAGCATTAAATTGAAATAAATTCAATGACTCTTTTACTCAATATTCTTGTGTTAAAATGCGAATGTGATGTAAATATCTAATAGACACGTCACAACTCAGCCTTCCGTTGATATATATCTGACGCAAACTAAGTATATCAAAGAAGTAATTGAGACTTTAATTAGGCGTGAAATGAAATCAAGAACCAGTCTCAAACACGACTGTTTCCCTTATACTTTTCTTATAAAAACCTAATCGAAATCTTATAATAGTCACAACGTGGTTAGGTCATTGAACTTGGATGAATGAGATCAGTAACGTTAATGTATCTGCACAGTTTATAGAACCCAGTATGAATGTAAGTTAAAGAATTGATCGAAGTTTTGAATTTTTTCACTCGTATCTCATTGATATATAATAGGTTGCTTTTTATAAGTGAGCAGCATTCTTACATTTAACGCATTCAATGCAGTGACGAGTAACCTCAAAAATTGGAATTAATTCCAATTTACCTTCTATAATTATTCTTTAAGGGTAATAAACAAACAGCGACAAAGTTGCCATATTGCCTTTTTAAAGCATTCGGACAAATCAGACTTTAAGAAAAGTAAGGTTTTTTCTCCAGCAGTAACATTATGTGCTAATTATTGAATTTTCGTGGTTTTATTCTCGCTTATCTTGCATGAAGGCTTAGGAGTTTGTAAGTACACTAGTGAAAGTATTTCTTTTAATTTTTTTGCTATGAAATACCGATTTGCGTTTTTACCACCCTTTCGACGAGCAACATTATTCGAAGCGTAATCAGTTCGCGAAATACATAAATAAGGGCGACTTTGAAGACTCTTATATTGAACAAATTAAACTGGCCAGTTATTAACAGATCAAGACATTTTCAAGACGCTCAGCGGCACAGCAGAGTATTTGTGCAGTCCACGTTTGTTGCAATACATGAGACAGCTTCCGCTTTCAGTTTATCTCACCTTATTTAACTACATGGGCTTGCTTGTCACCACTATTTAAAAATGTCTACACTGATGACAGAACTATCGAATCAAAATATTTCGTGTATAGTTGAATGACAAGGCTTGATAATAGTCATAAATGAATTACTACAACGTGAGGGTGAATTTCTTTTACAAGGAGCAGATAGTCAAATTCGTAATTGAGCGGTTTACTAATGAACAGAAAACACTGCATGTTCAAAATATTGCTACACTTTTGCTGATACACAGTAGAAAATATGTCTTTACATTATTTTGTGCAACTCACCGGTATAGAAAGCAATTGTGGAGCTACAAATGAGAAGTATTACAATAAGAGCCACAAATTATACTTGCGTTTTTTCTGCGGCTATTTAAAGCAAGAAAAAGATGGACGAATATGTTAACTGATGTCAACGACAAACGTTGAAAAAATGGGAACGTAGTTTGTGTCCATAACCTGTCATTAGATATAAACCAACACATAAAGAGCTCGCTTATCTATAGATATTCATCTTGGAACAATATCTTACCTTATTCGTATATATTATATTATTATACATATATTATAAATAACAGACTAAAAAATTAATACTACAGGTGAATTTACCCATAATCGTTGCGGTCAAGGGAATCATCATGAACTATGGAAAATCTGTCCAAGATTCTTCCCTGATTAGAGGCACCTGAGCACAGATTTTGGTAGATACCTCTGTGAATTTCAAGGTGCGTGCAGTAAACTGTGTTTGCTTTTTATACTGTCTTGACTCATTTGCTGCATGGCAATAGTTTTTTTATATTACTACCCAGTAGGCACTGTGTATTTAATTCCACTTTGGGTAAAAATAATTTTGATAAAGTCTTACAGCGTTATCCAATAAGTTTTATTGATGACCACGTTTCGAGCACAATTTATTTCTCGACTATTTTGATACTAAGAGGAACAAAAAGTTGTGCTAAAAATTTTGTTATCAGTAAATATTACTGCATACCACTGGGAGGCTTTATCATAATAAATTTTACCCACAATAAAATTATGCTACAAAATAGCGCACACGTTTTATTCTTATATCAATGGTGTATTGAAACTATAACATTGCCTTCTAAAAATTTCATCCTGTTAAAATCAACTTTAGCACGTAAGCACTTTGATATGTATTTGTTCGATAAATTCACCACTCAAAAGCGGCGTGATTTTGTTAAGGTGAAATCAGCTTCAAAACTGTGCTGGTAGCTTATATGATGACACTTGACTGGTGAAAGAAATCTGGATTCAGAAAGAAAATCTGTAATTTCACTGAAATGTTCCAATGGAAAATTAGTATTCACTGAAAACAACAAAATGGTTTCTCTGGACTCCGTTTATTTCAAATAAAATTATGCAGCAAATGAAAAATTTGAAAGCCGCATACTGTACTGCACTTGAAAAGCAACAGGCTGGCAGAAGAAGCATCAAAGATAGGACTTCAAGTGAACATAGGGAAAACAGTGGTGATGAAGACTCCTGACTTACACCAACATCAAAAACAACAACAGACAACAATCAACATAAATGGGAGGAACCTGAAAGAAACAACCTCCTTCATCCACCCACCTGGGAAGCGTCGTTTCAACTACAGGCGGAACTGACGAGCATATCAAAGCCAGAATGGGAAAAGCAAGGCAAACTTTCGTTACTCTTAAGTCTGTGTGGAAGTCAACAGCACTCAGCATCAAAAATAAGATGCGGATTTTGAACTCCAATGTGAAGTCAGTGCTGTTACTATACGGATCAGAGACTTGAACTGAGCTTCATAAAGAGCATCTCAAACAAACTCCAGACCTTCATCCACAGTTTCCTTCGCTCAACGCTCAAGATCAGATGGCCAGAGAAGATCAGAAACAGGGATCTCTGGCAATGAGCAAACCAACCCAGCAGGAACCGATTGTGAAACAAATAGGCAGGAAGAAGTGGAGATGGATTAGCCATACTCTGGGGAAACCATCAATTGACATCACTAGACAAGCCATTGCTCGAGTGGAACCCGAAAGGGAAGCGGCGAGTTAGTTGTACAAGGGTGACTTGGAGGAGGTCATGTGAGGAGGAAATGAAAGCGTGTGGGCAGACTTGGAGCGGGGTGAAAAAGTTGGCAGAAAACCGAGGGCAATGGAGACGTTTGGCTGAAGCCCTATGTTCCTCTGGGAACTAAATGATGAAATAATAATACTCCACTTATTATGAGTGACTTTTTTCGCGTAACTTGTGTCCATAGCTCAGTAGCTTCTGAAAATTTAGACTAATGAACTGTAATATGGACTGTCGTGTGTATCTTTCCAATGACAACCTTGTTGCATTATACAAAAACGTCTGCGAAAACGAAAATGAGAGAATCACAATTCCAGCATGTCCAGTTACCAGAACTTTAGGGCTGTTAATGGTTGCAAATGTAAACAGTGCATATTATTTTCCGCGAAAATCACGGACAAGAAGGCAATCAAGTTAGTTTATAGGTTATGAGCTATCATCTTGATATTTTTGAAGTCTGCTTTAAACTCTTCTACAATCTCATAGATTTTATACAGAAATTCAAATTATAGATTACAGATGAATGCTGACACAGAAAAAAATCAATAAATAAAAATTGTAATCAAAACTTAAGTGAACTTAAAATGTTCTCCCCCCGTCTAGAACCACCTAAAAAACACTTCGGTTAGTTGAATTTTTCAGTGAATCTTTGGATGGTACAACAAATATTTCTCTTTTATTTTTATGGTCACTGTCTATCCTGATTGAAAGAAATAACCTCATTTGATATGCTTGAAGCCATTGATTTCATATAATTTCGTAAACAGATTGTTTCTCTGAAATTATTTCCTGGGACTCGTGGCATCTTTTCAGTTTACTTTCATAAGTAGCATGATGTGATATACGATAAACATCATAGCACGGAGATCAGCAAAATGAAAAACACACATGAATAATTTATTTTGGAAAATCTTGAATAAATGTTTAATTAACTTAGGTTGCATTATTGCATTTCATTTCTTTGGAAATAAAAACAAAGCAGAGTAGATGGATTATATATCACAGAGGCAATGATTAGGTCCAGAAAGCCTGATTACACCCATTTATTTTGAATTGAGCTTTCGGAGAAGTTTGGTGAATCCCATACCATGAAAACCAGTTAGATGTATTTTAAGAAACTCGATTATTCTGTAACTAATGTCTTAGATAAGATTCGCGGTTTTGAAATTTTATTGATTTTTCCAAATATTTTTGCATATGTAATGACATAAAATGTTATGATTACACATATATTCGTAGGATTTCCACCGGGTTATACTTGAATACTTGACGTTGACTATTTGTGGAAACTCATACTGAAATTTAGTGATGTTATTTTCCCTAATGGCCTGTTGATTAAATCACACATATAATTCATCTTTTGTCATTCTCTACACTTGTTCTAAGATAAATCATGTTTTTGAAACCAATGAGAACAATCTAAAAATCTAAAAATTTTGACAACCTTATATTTCACGAAGGATGATCGATACACACAAGTAGTGAACATTTTTCAATAACTATGAGACCAACCGGGTGTGTTGGAAGGCGCAAAAGTATGCTGCTTCATTTTTAAATTGAATAATTGAAAATATTTAGCCTAACGACTCACGTATCATTCCGTGCAACCAAACTACCATTCAACAATCGTCTCCTTGTTTCAGAGGAAAGTGCTGGTGAGTAAACATAATATACCTTTGTTTTATTTTAATTACACCCTACTCCTTTTCAAGCGTTTTTCGTTTCCGCAGACATTAGAGTCCTCATAGAAATCTCCCATGCATCACTCATTTCACCTTCATAGTTTATAAAAACAAAACAAAGATGTGACCCCTTGTTTCTCATCGAGTAACTAAACCGCATGTCATCTCACCACTATGAAGAATTATCGGAAGGCTATATATCCAGTATTATTTCGTAGTAGTGTGAAGCAGGCAGTGTGTTTCAACGGAATATTATTCTTACATATTTCCACAGTTTAATGCTACATGAAGAATAGTACAATATATATTTTAGCATCCTTTTTCATGTCGTTTGATGTAATTATTAGTAAGCGCATATAAAACTTTGTATAAATAAGTAGCGGTTTGATAACATCAAAAAATATACCTTGGCTTCTGTTTCATGCGTCTTGTTGTTACAATTTAGCTATTTATACACACAGCTTGTTGACTGACATAAGATTGTAGAACAATAAAGTTCGTGTTATTTCATTTCTCGCAGATTACGTGATTTTACTACGCCTTCGAGATTTTATTGGAAAAGCTTCCATAAAATACTACGTATCTTACTTTTTCATCAGTACTTATAAAAACTACAGTTTTCGCGAAACACGGAGGCATGATCCTTTAAGATTTCTTTATTCGAATTAAAAAACTTCACAAATCGAAGAGTTTTTCTCACACTGTTTGATAGCAATGTTTCAATTAAAATTCACCAAAAAGCTTTAAGCTGTAAGTTGTTCATACTCTTCTCTTACGTTATTTAATTAGTAGATAAATTCTCTCCTGCCAACATTGCATTTTTTTCGAAATAAAAATCACGTGGCCTGAATGTGAATTTCCACAGAGTTATGACACTTTTAAAGCTTTAGACTACCGTGCTTCGAGAAATCATCATTTTTTGTATGTAGAAAGGACCACAGGAAAGAAAAATGTTTTATGGTGTATCAATCTCCAATTGATTTCTTGATACACATTTCGTAACCTCTTTTCAAAATAGTGTCTATTGCGCGAAAAAAACAATTTGTCCAAAAACCGAATATTTATGTTGATTGTGTAGGAAAATAAGTCAGCTAAAACAAACATTTGACTTGAATTTTCGGTAAAGTCTCCACTGAATGTTTTAATAAGACATAAAACATTTGAATTTCTGGCATGTGATTTATCTGAAACTTTTTTGCCTTATAAATTATGCTTATTTACTTAAGTTAAAGCATGTAAGTGATACGATTCACGAGTTTAATTGACGATATTTATGCATGTTGACAATAGTATTTATATTTTTTATCTTCTCTGTGTAAACAGCAACGTAAATCCCTTCAAAAGATTTCGTATTGTGATAAATATGCATTCTGTCTAGCGAATACTCATTTACTTTTAACCGGTCAGATGGACTTAATTCCCTTTAGGCTGGGTTCAGAATACTACGTTCTTATCACCATTCTATTAATGACTTCGAAAACCATATGGAGATGAAATGATTCCATGGTAGCTTGCTTGAAATATTTTATTCCATGAGTTCAATCTGCTTTCTGCAACAAATTTGATGCCATAATAATGTGCATCCCTACCGAGACCTCTCGACTGTGATTATCGTTTCTTTTCACATCCTAACGAATGCAAACATCATGATAAGTAGAAAAAATTTGATGTATACAATAAATCCCGATAAGCTATTATTTTATTCTACTTAAAACCATCTAGATACATTAGGTGAGTGAACCACATTTTTTACTAGCTAGGATTATGCCTCAAAAGATGTTCGAAGAATTCTTGATTTATATAAACGTGCAACCACTAGGAAATTACTGTGTATTTACGTATGAATACTGTTTTATAATTGTCTCCTGTTAACACACTTAGCAGCCATTATCCGACAAATTCTGATTTAGCCTTCTTTGAAGCATAAAACACGAATTCACAGGTCTCTTCAGCTATATCATTCTCGTTACATTGGTGATGGCACTTCTGACTATGAGACTATATCAGAGAATATCACTTCACACGTAAACTCCAACTCAGTACAGCTCATAGTTAGATGAAAATTAACAAAGGATTATGTATTATTATCATCGCACTTTGTGAAGTGTAATACAGGAAGACGAACGAAAAGTTCACAACTAATACGCATATTGTTACAGTCTAGTTGGGTACAACACTTCAGCCTCTTTATAAACGACTATAATTTTATATAACGTCACATAGTTGTTTTTCTGCTATCGAGATTCAAGATTTTCTGATCTCCTGGTTTCTGTGAACTCTAAATAATATTTAAACTAACACAAATCTTCAATCTCCGATATTTTCATCTCTGGCATAATTACTTTATTAATTTTCCAGGAATTGCAAACGACACAAAAAGTGCTTTCAAAAGACGTTGGAAGCAAGAAACTTTGAATGAATAATACCTGCATTTCATGCTTCTTCAGAAATTCTTATATAATGCTTACAATTTATTGTGATCTGTTTTGAACCACAATACAAATAATGACTCTTTAACATCGTGGCATGATACTTCATGCAATGCGAATCATGATTGAAACGTTGACCAGTAAATAATACTGTTTCACGATGTTTCACATTTTTATGCATTTACAAACTATCACGGTGTACCTTTTTCACATATACGATGAATTTCCCTTATGAGCAAATATTCTCATAAATGAAAGATTACCGTTTAACATATTCTTTTAAAAATCAGGTCATTATTGTGAGTTACATATTATCATAAGATGCACTGAGGGCATTTCTTCATCATCTCTTAATGAAAAGTGTTTATTTTGGCATGAAAATGTTTTCATAAAATGATGGAAAATACATTGAGAATGGAATCAAGTTAGGAGCCATCCCCGTATAGAAATGAGTTAGGACTACATTTGAATTATCAAAGAATCTAGGATATATGGTGAGCTCGGAATTTTACTCGAAACAACAGGATGAAATAAGCTAGTTTATTATTTTCAAAATAGTATTGTAGTAATGTGATAGATCTAATAGCACAGAAGTATTACAGATTCTTCTATCACTGTATCATCAAAAACAATATCTCAATGCTTTAAAAAAGCAAGCTGTGTAGAAAAGATTCGAAGAATTATCTTTTATTTGAGAGAAGATTCATTCTAACTGCGGGGACTGAATGTTTTGATTCTAGATGACTGTAAGTCCCCTTTGATACAAAGTGTAAATATATCTCAGATTTGAATATTGTTTATCTCGTGATTTGAATATTCTTATACTCATCAAGAAATCCATAAATACCGAGACTTAACTGCTTGCGCCAGAGGCACAGCGTTTGAGAAGTCTCCTGACCCTACACGTGGTCCGGCTTTGATTTACGGCCGACGAGACCAGATATCAATAGTCGGCCTGATTAAAATTGGACTACCGATATTACATGATGAAAAATTCCATATATGTATAAAAAGTGTCTGGAGTCAAGCTATAATAAAATATACAAATATATAAATATAACATGCAATACATTTGGAACATGTATGATTTCAAATGCTTTCTCGCTATACAGATTCTAGGTATAAATGCACTGCGTCTCCTTTATTCATGGAATGCGCATGAACACTGTTCTCAGCATAATGTATTTGACTGCAAAGTGGGAAAGAACGTATACTCCTACATGTGCATCTCAGTTTATATACATTTGCTACACTGTGTATTTATAACTTTTCTTCTATTCTAAATTATTAACAAAGGATTTTTTTAATCAGAAACTGAGTAGTTCTTGTGATACACATATAGCATCATAGGGAAGGATCTTGATTTTTCCAAAATCGTGTCAAACCTGATCAAAAGCGATCACTAAATGACTGAGGGCAAAGTTAATATTTCTTGAATTTACTTGAACCAATGGCCAGTATCTACAATTCTATTGCAGTTTGTGGTGAGTTTATGATTTCTTTTTCTTCAACTGGATTTTTTGCAATATCACTGTATCACAGAGTTGTTTCGGTGGCACAGCGGTTAAGACCGTCGCCGACCATGCACATGGTCCGTGGTTTCACACACGGCCGACAGACTCCTTTACCTCGTGAAGCCAGAATGAATGCTGGTAAAGAGATAGGGTTAGGCATAAGGCTAGCAACCTCATCTTTTAAAAATAAACACCGCTACAGGAACTTCGAGACTATAGCTTGAGGCCCCATGTTCCACTGGAAACGTGAAGGGATAAATATAGAGCTATGGAGAACACTAGACTGAATATTTCATAAATATTCGATAAAAATTGACGGCATTCAAAATGAAGTAAATGCACTGTGGTTTTAGAGCTGAAAATAATGAGTTTTATATAATTCTATTCATTGTTCAAACGCATGCAGACACCTCAATGACGGATATATCCCCGTGTTTTTGAAGACTGCAACACTATATAAATTCAGTTACCGGATAACAAAGTCAATCTCCTTATAATATAAACAAAGAATGTGGATATTTCGCTTAAACCGGACTAACAAGTCTTAAAAAGCTGATTGGAATTGCTTTGTCTGCAGGTTGACTGTACACTGAGAAAATAAGAAGACCTGGTTTTCACATAACATGTTATATTTATACATTCTCCATCTTTATTAACGACTAAATGAAATTAATATGTTTGAACATGTCTAGGTTTACGTATATAATTGATTATCAAAATCATATATCTGGATCAACAATAATCATCCTACATATTGGAACCTATTCAGAATACAGCTGATGTTTCGAACATGAATCAGGATTTGAGAGTGTTCCAAGCTTAAACAAACAGCAACTAGTCATGTTTAGAGGCTTTCATATAAAACGTCGAAAATAAGCGTCTTTAGGGCAAAGTAGGAAAACCTGTGTATATACCTGAGAAATATGGCAAAATGTATAATGGAACAAATGACTGGATATTCTGATGTTGAAAGCCACATTTTTTGTGCATTTCATATGTTCGACAGCTGTTAATACAAGAACATTTAGTACTACCACAAAACTCAGGTTCATCAACACGTTAGCAATTGAAAGAGAACAAAGCAGACTGCGAATGCTGACAGCATATTCATCAACTGTGTTGTGTAGGCATATTCATTGACTGCGTGTGTGTATGTTCGCCAGTGAACTCTTTCTGAGATTAATTTTGACGGATGTAACTTTCATAATACTATTCCGTCGATTCTGTGACCTTTCAGTTTCAAAAAGTGTTATGTTTTGCACATCAGTGTCTGACTAACTCCTGCGCTTAAGATATTGGCTATTCGGTCCTGTGTTGTGCATTTAAAATCACTCCAATAACTGTGAGGTTTATGTGTTTACATTTACATGCCGAATAATTGTTTATCAAAAGTCTAAGCAAGTGATGGTACACCTGTGTAAAAGCGGTGAAAAATGTCACACTTTAGTAGCCCTTGTATTCTCTTATTTTGATGTATATTTATTGACTATTTAAATTGAAATACTGACAAATTGTTATGCATCCACTTACAATATATGAGAGTATGAAAAGTGTTAATATTTGAAAGTCGTTTCCTAAGCGATCGAAGAGTAACGAAACGTAGTTTTTAATGTGTGTCGTGTAGACGTTTATACAGCAAATTTTCAAGTACACTGAATTATTTTGTGATTTAAATGTACTCAAATTTTCCAATTAGCACTTTTCTGCGCAAGTGAGTTCAATAGTCGAGTTCTACTTAGTAATCTGTCATTATCATTCACTTATTTGAATGTCGTATTTCAACAACTCCTATATTATTGCTTTTCCATCATAGGTCAATCACTTAATAGTTATATGTTAAAAATGTTTGAGGTTAATATATGCCTATATAAATGTCTGATATCTTCAAATTTAGGAGTGAATTAATTTTGACCTAATGAATATTTAACATCTCAAAATTAAACGCAATATCTCAAGTCATCTCGGTTGGAATACAGTTCACTGACTACTACTCGTGATACAATTATTGGCCATCGTTTGAGAAATAACATTTGATCGACAGTGCTGGTGTTCCTGTATGCATGTCAAAAATATACTGAGTGCAAAGGCTTCCAATTTCATGTGTCAGCATCCCACAGTGGCTGTAAAAGTGTCTTAAAGCTGTTTGAACATCAAAAAATTCCCCAGTGTGTTTCAAATCAATTGTTTCTGTTTTTTCGATAATGAACAGCTCAAATACTTAGTGAACACGATGAAGACATATCCAAGTATGAATAGTCTTCGCTATCAATGAAACTGTAATTGAGTATTGGAACATCAATACAAAATCGAGGAGTCCCTTCAAGTGGGTAGTTAATGCAATCTCAATATACATACCTTGTTTAATTCACTAGAAACAGACTACGCGTCATGTTTGCTGAAGTTTGAGATGTTATTTATGTAAATGTAAATTTCCATATGTAAATATATTAATGTGTATACATATATAATTTAGGCAAACGTAAGTTAAATCTCAATATCTGATATGCACCCCTTTATCTTAATATACAATTAACCATCCAATAGAAACGCATATTTCAAACGTATTTATCATTTGGTTCAGAAATTAAAGTCTCACAGAAAAATATGGGATCAGAGATTACAGTTCACACTATTTTTGAAAGTCCTGATTCGTTTTCTGTGAGTTAAACAACTTCATCTACAACATGTATCTACTAAAAAGCTCAACAGAATAAAGAGCGCAGATAATAGTCGGTCTTAGATGGTTGAAGGCAATCGGCAGGAAGCCTTAGACCTAGCTTTCGTGCTAGTTGGCACTCGTCAGCAAGGCGTATCTGCAACCTTGAAGGAACTCATGTCCCTTCTGAGATTCGAACTCGCATCACCCAGTGCTGCAGTCAGAGACGTTATCACTGAGCTATTCGGGCCAGCGATTGACCTCCTGCAGGACTGTAGTGGACTGGGTGACGCGGGTTCGAATCTCAGAAAAGACATGAGTTCCTTCCAGATTGCAGATACGCCTTGCTGACGAGTGCCAACTAGCACGAAACCTAGGTCTAAGGCTTCCTGCCGATTGCCTCCAACCATCTAATACCATCAAATCAATGTTCACCGTGATGGCGAGCTAGCTAGAATGGTGGTCACATTACAGCCTGACTGATAAAAGTCAGTCTCCACCAATCAGAGGACTAGACGCATCACACTAGTTACTAGTGTCAAATCAAAATAGTTGGTCTTCACCGTAATGTTTTTGTCATCAAGTTAGATTATGAGCACTCATTGTTAGCATCCTAATTTCCAGTCTACCTCTCCCTTCTGATGCCTAAACAAAATATTTTCAGTGTATATAGGGTTATTTAAGCCTAGTAGTCGTACATCAACCTTGTTCTTTACGTGAATGTTAGCATGATGTGGATATATTCAGGTGTACATGCATGCTCATGTGATCTGGGTCATGCAAACACTAAGTTTATCTTTAACTATGCACATGTCTCGGTATTTAAAAAATGAGCCTCTTCAATATAACTGGCCTCACAGTTATTTGAAACAACATGTCAGAAATGAACTCTTATAAGCTTCTGCTAAACAGCAAGTGAAACAGCACAAGTTCAAATTTGACATATCATCTTCCTACCACAAAACCAACAATGAATTACAATGCATGAAGCTGAAGAATGTTTTCTAACATGATATTAACCTATTATCAACGCTACGTTAGCGAAGAGGAAATATCACTGAAGATCTGCAAAAGTGTAATTAGTATAGCTCGTAATTTAAATAAATAAGGGCTTAAGTGATTAAAATATTGATGTAAGACGCTATTCACAGTGCCAAAACATTTTCTAGATAAACACAGTTTTACTGTAAAATTAGCACTGCAGTCTTTATGTTCAGTACACAAATG